CCAGGTGTTCCGAGTCACGGCGTGCCTTTTCGTACAGGGCTATTTGGATCCTTCCTCATGACCGAGGTCTTGATGAATCTCACCACGAATGAGATGATGAACATGCACAGGCCTGTCGGCTGTAATGTAGGGGTCTGGATAATTAATTAGAACAGGGTTTTGGGGTTCCTTATTACAATTATAATATAATACTGTTACACCCCAAACTCGGCTCCTCATTATGATGATAGTATAATATACACAAAACTCGGCTCCTTACTATTATTCTAGTATTGTTTCCCCAAAACTCTATTCTAAATCTTTAGCGAAACGAGAAAGAGCCGTGGAGGGCGAAGCCGGACGGAGCTGGTGACTTGGAGTCCCCCCCAGGTACAAGCCTCGGTAGCTGAGTGGCATATGGGTGCTTCTCAAAATTAGGGTCCCCGTTTTGGGTACCCTAAATAATGGGTGCCGTATTACATTAAGGACCCCAAAAAGGGACCCTAATTTTGAGAATCAACCATATCTTCTTGGGAGAGTATGACCCTATGGGAGACGCTTAGAAACGCGTCCAGCAGCGTAGGAATCGGCAGATAACCTGCATATTTACAGGGGCCGAAATACTTACCAATACTCTTCTGAGGGTTCCTTGTTATAAATGTAGTATAATGGGCCCCAAAACCCTATCCTAATTATTACGGCCCCTATATTGCATCTTCTTGGGATAGTATGATCCTTTATAAAACTGAAACTGTACACTTCTTTGTGGCTTATGAACTCAGCAACTAAGAAGCAGTCAGCTTCTCCCGAACCAAGACATGAACGAACGTGAAGGAACATATCGATCTGCCCGAAGGGGAGGCGTCCATGCGGACAGCGCACGGAAGAAGGCCTTCCTCTCTCCACAGCTAGCTTACCTTCGTTAAAGTTGGGTAACTTTTTTACATTTTGTGGGTACTTAAGCCCAATAAAGAATAGAAATGTAATCTTTTTATCCTATCCCGACCATGAACTAGTTACCTAGTTCTACCTCCCTCATTGAAACCAAACCGTAGGAAAAAGTGCTCACCCTTGTTAGGGGCTACTGGGGAACCCTGAATCCTATCAACCCTAAACCCTCTAAACCCTCTAGCTCTCTAAACCCTCTAAACTCCAGACTCTAGACAGGTACGAGCATTTTTGGACAATTCGACAGATTGGTCCTGGCGCGGACCTCGTCCATGGTTCCACCGACCCATCGACAGACATATGGATGGATAGACAGGTAGATAGATAGATAGCACAGATAAGCCGATAGCATAGACGATAGACATGTGTATACATCCTTTGCAGATGTGCATATGTGTTCCTCCATCATAGCTGCGACTCTCAAACACGAAGCCCTGTCTTCGTTCCCTCCGCACTGTGCATACGGGTACGTAGCAGCGAAAAGCCGGCACAACTGTGGACACAACAACAGCCGTGCAGAGTCTAAAACCCGAGGAAGAGCAGAAGCTGGGGTACCAGCACCACTGACAGCAACCACGAAGTCTGATACCAGTCGTGCGTACCCGGCAGCTGTCACCATCGTCATCATCGTCTTCATCTTCATCATCGCCGTCGTTCCATGCTCTTCATACTACAGGCCACTCTTCCAGGATCTTTCGCAATCCCTTCAACAAGGCCGCTTGAGCTTCGTGTGTTGTGTTTGAGACATTTGGGATTTGGGTCTCGGATCAGAGATCGGAGATTTCTGCTGTCAAGTGATCATGCATGCCTTGTTTTAGACTGGACATGGTGCTTTCCAGCCTGTCGTCGGGGGCTGCTGACTACTCTCCCGGTCTCCCAAGAAAAACCGAAGCTACTGGAACCCAGCCGTGCGCTTTGGAGGGCAGTGGTGTGGCAAATTGCTTCGACTTCTGGTGGCACCGTACGCGATGGCAGGCTCACTGAGCTCGTGAGTCTTTGAGCAGCTTCTCCATGGGGTGCGAAAGGGTGTTGACATGGTAACTCGAAGGCTGCTGCTGCAGGGGTTGCTAAAGGGAGTTCAGGGTTTTTGTTCCCTCCGGAGCTTTGTTTCTCTGGCTCAGATGGTGGCGCAGCCGCAACCGCTTGAGGGTGGGTGCCAAAAGCAATGCTGCAACCATAGCGCGAGGCTCAGTATCTCGACTGGGGAGGTAGGTCTGCGGGATCGGAAATCGTTGCAGAACTGCCTCACGTGGCTCACATGTGGATGAGGGCAGCCCTGAGCCGTCTCGGTGAATGTAAACCCATAAGAAGCATTGCCTCAGGCCACTAGCGACAAGTGGGCGCTTGCGGGATGGCAGTGCACTTGGCACCATGGCCATACGAGCAGTCCTTCTGTCAGGCTGGCGAAGATTCCTCCTTCCCTTAAGACCCGAGACTTGTGGACTTAGGGCACAGTATCTCCGCAACAAAAGGCGAACGGGGAGTTGCTCTAGCATCAATTCTTCGGAGAGTCTCAGATCGTGTCAGAGGGGCCGGCTGGATTCAGGTGGAAGATGTGCTTACTGCTGAAAGTCTAGTCGTTGGTAAGGCAGTTGTGCTAGTTTACTGTTTCTCATGGTATCGCCACCAAGCGCCCTGGTGCAGGCATCCCCACCTGTGCACGTCGAATGAGTGGCGGCAAGCCACGATCTCACGGAGACATCCCAATGCGAAGCCGTGACTAGACACTGGTTTCCACGAGGGGGCCGTTTCCCGCGGGTTAAGCATGTTTCGTGACCTAGAACTGCAACATAAAGCTTTCTATGGCTTAGGGAGGCATCATGATGCGATGGTTGCGGGTTCGATGCAAAGACGCCTCGCAATCGACGGGCTCTACCACCTGCGCAAAATTCCATGCAAAACAAAGCAAGGCCCATCCGTCGCTTTGCGCTTCAGAATTGGGGTCAGTTCTGCAAGGAGTCTTCTGGTGCTACGCAAAGCCAGCGCTCAAGATCTTCTCCGGGTTCAATTGTGTGACGATCGCGCCGACCAGTTTTGGCTATCAGAAACGGGAGAAGTAGCTTTCAAGAGCACGACTGGAGGATTCGAAGCCTATGCCGGTGTCAGATTCTCCAGCTTTTTGACATCCCTAAGCCCCAAACCTTGCAACTGCAGCCCCAAGATGTCGAAGTCTCAGGGAGTTGCGGAAACCCGCAGGTCCAAGCAGTTCTACGCACCCCAAGGAAGGGCAACAAAAGCACCAACAGAGGCCCAGGTTTTAATGAGCCCATGCATGGCCTCGGCATCGCAGCGCACTCAAAGGTCGCCAGCCTGCAGGCACAGAGTGAGAGAGGAGAGAGGGAGAGGTGGAGATAGAGACAGAGATGGAGACCGAGACAGAGAGAGAGCGAGAGAGAGAGTGAGGGAGGGCGAGGGAGACAGAGCGAGAGTGACTCCAGGGCAAAGTCAACTCTGATAGGTGGCCGAAGGGAGTTGCAGGCTTGACAGACAAGATGCTTGCCCATGGAGCCCACGATGTCCTTGCATGAGATCTTTCTCTAGGTAGGGCTTTTGGGACATTCCATATTTTCTCTTATTGGGCTTAAGAGGATCTTACCTACTAATATTTCAAAGGCTTTAAAAGCACCTCCTAGCTCTTAAATCAAGGGAATGCAGAGAACACCACCATGTACGTAAAGTTTTGCCATCACCCTTATTGAAGCGACACGCACCACCATGAGCTCTATGAGTCTATGAATCCTTGAGCCCCCAGAGCCTCATGTTGAACGCCGTGATTTGAGGCTTCATTCAGAAAAGGGTCCCAAGTTTAGGTACTTGGGTTTGGGATAGCAGTTTTCTGTATGTTAAACTTCTTCCTCAACCCTAAACCGCCGCAGCCAAAAGAGAAACGGCAAAGACAAACTGGGACCGGAAGGTATCTGCCAGGAGTGGCGTCTTGGCTCAGCTTTCTCCAGGTGCCCGTGGTTGCAGCTGCTTTGGGACTGAAGCATTGTCCTCATACAGACAAGAAGCCCAGGTCATCATACTGGGATGCTGGCAGCCAGTTGTCATTGGTTCTTGATGGTGACGGTGGTGGAATGTCCTTAGTTTGATCTTATTTGGAGCTCGGGGATTCAGTTTTGTCAACATGCGAGTGGCGTTTTGTCGAAGCATGGGCTGTCGGGCACAGAGCGTTTCGGGTGAGCTTCGAGTTTCAAGTGTCTTCAGTTCGGACACAGCTTCGTAAAGACGACCGGCCGCCAGAAGAGAGGAAGATTCGAGAATGTGGCGTACGGCCGACAGCACACCTTGCCTTTGGTTAGTAGGGAATGGAAGAATGGTAGTAATATTTAATAGTAGTTATAAGTGTACCCATTCCTCCATGCCCTACTACCAAAGGTAAGAACACTGGCATTCCCGCAACACAGACAGCCCTTTTGGCATGAAACTGAGCTTCTCCTCACAAGTGCAAGAGCAGGCATAACTTCTAACCCCAAACTGTGAATACAGGGGCCATGGCATTTTTTTTTTTTTTTTTTGGGGGGGGGGGGGGGGGTGGTCCTTGTTATAGCAATAGCATACTGGGCCCTTAATAAGGCCCCTATATTAGCCGTTTCGGAATGGCAGGTTCTCACATCCTTACCTTTGATCGCGGGCAAGCAGGGAGCTGAGTCTGAAACTGCCAGAATTGGAGGATAACGGAGGTTAGAAGTACCCTAAATGGAGTTATAGGTATTGGTAAGTATAGTTACCCTAGTTGTAGCCCTAGCTACTAAGTCCCATGATCCTCCAAGCAGAATTGGGGTGTGGATGTCTGTGGCGTGCCATTGTGGCTTCGGTTGCGGAGGCCCCATGCATCTGCAGGGCGTGACCGGGGTCCGTACTGGTCCGTCTTGGCCCGTCTCGACATACAAAAAATGCTGTCGGGCATCGGAACAGCCACGTCTTTTTTAACCGCTTCGATGCCCGGTAGCAATATCTCGCGTCGCAGGGTGAAACTTGCTGAAAGGAGCTACACGTTGAGTGTTGGCTCTCAGTTCTGTTTCAGCTCAGCTCAGGGCGTCTATTGGCGCCATCCCTGTTGTTGCAGCTGCATGTCTGGGAGCATAGTCGCGGGCTTTCTGTTCCGGCCCTCAGGGGTGCAGACTACTATGCCATCTTGGGCATCCCCAAGAATGCCGACCAGGCAGTTTTGCTGAGCCACTTACACTTCAGACTTTTGTCACGAACTCCTGCTGGACAATGTGCCGTGTGCACATTCTGGGCCTTTCTCGATGTGGAGTCTCTAACTCCCAGCCAAAGATGGGAAGTTACCAGGTGTCCGTCTCCTAAACGCATGGTGGGGTGGGGTACTGTTGCTATCCATAGGTTTCCAGCCTGCACCAGCTCTTGGGCATCAAGCCGGCCTAGTAGGGGGGCTTCTGGGGTGAGGTGGGTTAGGCTTTGATTCCTGGCTTTTCCGCTCTCTGTGGACAGGCAGCCATCAAAAAGGCGTATCGAGCCAAATCCTTGGAGTACCATCCGGACAAGTGCGCCGATGACAAGGACCAGTTTTCTCAAGGATGCCAAAACTCGACCCAGTGTGTTGCAATACGGTGGATCAGGCAGGGCTGAAGTGCCAGAGCTTCGGTTGAGGATCGCCTGGCAGGAGCAGTGCCAGACAAAGTTCATCGAAGTGTCTTCAGCCTACGAGGCTGGCTTTTGTTGGCATCGGTAGCTGGCACCCTCAAGATCTTTCGGGGCACTAAGACTCCATCCAACCCTTCCAGTGGCCGTTCCTCTGGAATTCCGTGAACAGGAAAGTTTTGAGGCCAGCGGGTTCCAAGAGTTTCAGATGGAAGTCGAGAGAGAGTCAGTGCCCGCCTGCCGGCCGATCCTGATAGCAAGCAGCAGGCCACTCGGTCCTTCTCTCTATCTCTATCTCTATCTCTCTATCTCTCTATCTCTGTCTCCCTCAACCTTTGGACAAAGCCTCTTGCCGGGGTCTCCGCCGGCTGGAAACAGCGACAGGTCCTCAGTGATGCCGAGAAGCGGAAGGCTCGCATTAAAAGGGGTTCTCCGTCTGGTTCTTATTAGGGAATGGGGGAATGGATTATGGAGATTATTATTGTGGATTATAAAGCTAGGTAGGGCTTTGGGACATTTTATACTTGCTCTTATTGGGCTTAAGAGGATCTTATTTACTAATATTTTTCAGAGGCTTTAAAAGCCCCACCTAGAAAGGGATCCAGTCCTCCATTCCCTACTAAGCACCAGAACAGTCATGGTTGGAGTTCGGTCATTTGGCCCGGTAATAAAGGGGCCTTGACAGTTAGAACACCGTTTTGGGGCCCATTATACTATAATTACAATAAGGAACCCTTGAGAAGGTATAGGTATTTAATAAGGCACCTTTCTTAGGGAAGCAAGAGCAGAGGCCTACGAAGCTTCAGCTCGCCGCAGCTTCGTCCCAAGATCTTACGCTTGCACCCTCCCCGTACTCTCCAGGTCTACGACCAGCACGGCGAAGAGGGCCTAAAGGAGGGGCACCAGTCCGACGAACAGGCCGGAACTTTCGCAAAGCAGGTCCCCCTTTGGCTTTAGGGGAGGAAGCAGGGTAGTGGAGGGCTCGTCTCAGAGATGAGTGATAAAATCTGGCTGGCACAGTCTCAGAGAGACTACCGAACATCTCACGAATGTCGGGAGGACCGTGTTAGCGACAGTTATACTGCTTGTTGTTTTGATAATACCTCTCTGAAAGGGGGTAAGCTCACGCATAACGCTATATGAATCCTAAACGGTCAAACCTCTGGCGAGAAGCCAAAAGCGCCAACCTCCAAACAAGGCGCATGACCTCGAACTCCACCGAAACAAAAGAAATCAGGGTATTACAAAACCGCAAACCATAAACCCCCGACCCTAAACCCTACACTTCTCCTCAAAAGCTACCGTGCCTTTTGTCGTCACAGGCGAAAGCCATGTTTCGCCAGTTCTTCGGCCGCGAGCCCGACGGGAACGCGCTGCACTCAGCTTGCGGGGTCAAATTTTAGGACCAGGGCTTATTTTTGGGGGAAGGTTTCCTGTAAAGGGGTCTATGAAGGCTACTATAAGGGCTATCATAAGGATTTAGTATAGGGGCCAAAAGCATTACCAATACTATTTTGGGGGTTCCTTATATTGGAGTACAATGGGCCCCCAAAGCCTATTCTAATTATTAAGGCCCCTATCTTAGGCTTTAGTTCTTGGTCTTAGGAGTTTCCCGTTTTTGCAGGTTCGGCAAACCACCTCTGCAGAAGATCCGGCCCTGTTTACCGCCGAGGTCTGGATGGATCCCACTGCATGTCTCTTTCTGCAGCGGCACTCGATTGAATAAGTTTGGACATAATATAGGGGCCTTTATAATCAGAAGAAGGTTTTAGGGCCCATTGTACCAAAATTATAACAAAAACCTCAAAATAGTATAGGTAATTATTAGGCCCCATAGTATGCAGGGCTGTTTTCGATCCCATTGAATCGACGACAACTGGCTCCATCGCAGATGGAGGGTTACCACAGGAGGACTAATATAGGGGCCTAAATAATTACCAACTCTATTCTGGGGGTTCCTTACTATGATTTTTGTAGAATGGTCCCCAAAGCCCTATTCCAAATATTCAGGCCCCTATATTATGCCTATAGCTCCCGAAATACGGGCCCCTATAACGGGTACTTCTACGGGTGCTGCAAGGCTACAGTCTACAGTATCATGTCTTGAAGGTCAGGATCGTCCGCCGAGGAGGCCAGATGATGTGCTGCCCTCAGCAAGACTCTCTCAGGTAGTACTTCTTGAATAGGAACCTTACAGTGGCCCTAGAAAAGCCGCCTTCACGTATAGTACTCTCGCGGTGGTACCCATCCATGTAGTTTGAGTAGACCTTCAAAGTCGACCCCAAAATAGTAGGATCCTTAATAGAAGAACTCCTGAGAGGCGGGTTGTGAAGTTTTTTTCTCAAAGACAGCCTCTACCACCACACTTGTCTATACCGCTGCTCGGGGGCGAATGAAGCTTCGAGTCTTGTTTATGTGCTCCCAGCCGCGGCCCCCCCACGTTCTTCAGCCCTTCCTGTGTTCGTGCGCCAGGCTCGTGTGTTGCTTGTTGAAAAGCAGCCTTGTACTCGGTTGTGAAGGCAAGACATCCAAGTCTCAAAGTCTTCTACACTCCCTGGTGTCTCTCAGCCAAACCCTAAACCCTAAACCGTGACTCTCAGGTTCATGGAAGAAGGTGAGCCTGGACCCAAGGACTCGCATTCCGAAGTTATCCTCAGCCCTGCAGGGCCCGGCCGGCCGGTGAAGAAAAGTAGTACAGCTGGTTGCAGTACTCTACAGGCCTAAGGCATAATGCATACTATTTGGTGTTCCTTAGTATCGTCATAGTATAATATACACCAAAACCTTGTGCCTTGCAGGTTTGGGAGAGCGGCTTGCAGAATCTCCCATCATGTCTTTGACGCCAAGCGATTGCACGAGTCTCGCGAAGCACCACTCGGCTTACTTACCTTTGGTTGGCATGAATGGAAGAATGGTAGTAATAGTAGTTATAATTGTACCCCATTCCTCCATTCCCTACTAACCAAAGGTAAGCTTAGCGTTCGTCAGGAGGACATTTACGGCAACACCAACGTCACCGAGCTCACATCCGACTTGCACCCTGGCTCTAGTCGGGGAAGAGCAAAAACACCGGACACGGATAGTAGCCCTTATTGCAGGTTTGAAAGCAAGCCGTGTAGTGGTGAGCCCAAAGTCGACAAGACCCTTCAACTCTGCGGCCATGCCTGAGAAAAAACCATATTCTTGACCTGCAGGTATGGCTCGCAAATCAATGACCGCATCGAGCCCTGGTTTGTTCAGCTACCCGGTGATGTTTTCAGGAGACTTGGGTGTTCTGGGATATGGATTTAGTAGATAAGCGGTGTCTTGCCGAGGTTGCGGGGCAGCTACTGTTACAACACCCGACAGGAGCTTTGAGGCATCGGGTAAAGGTGCACAAGTTAGGAGAGAAGATGCATGCAGGCGCTGATCCCGTAGACCCCGATAACTCGGGAAGGGATGCCAAGCAAGATTTTGGACGTTCAATTTTAGGGTTTAGGGTTTAGGTTTGTCAATTCAGGTTCTACAAGCCGAACAACGACGAGTCTCGGGAGGCGCATCGTGAAGAGAAATAGACGCTCTGACGACGTAGGGGCACTTTGCACATGCCGCACGGAAGAACAGACATTGCGGGAGATTGAAAACTCGAGCGTCCACATGGTGTTGGGCATGTTGGCAGAAGGGTTGTCAGTTTCTTTCACCAGTAACAGTAGCAATCTAGAAGGCTCTACGACATCCAAGGAGCACAAAGATGGGAAGATACCCGCAAATAGCTCTTCGTTTTTCAAAAGGGTCTCCGTCACCCTGATCGGCGCCGGGCACACACTCCTTGATTAATCCTCCTCAGAGGATGATCAAACAATCCCCGGCAGTTCATGCCCTGAGCAGGAGAGAAATGCAGATCTGATGAGCATCTCAGAGCTTTTGGAGAAATACGCAGTTCGATAGGTTTTTGAAGAGAAGTCACAGTTCAGTAGGTTTTACCATCTTTGAAGTGGTTTTGGTCGCATCATGCGACTTAGCCGGCACGGTTACATGGGGGAACGAGCAAAACTTATGACTTCTTATGAGCACTGACCATGCGGAATCGACTTCGCCGACTGCTCAAACTTTTCAAAACGATGCTGTTATGACTTCCTGCTTTTGTCGTAACGCACGGTTACGTGGTGGAAGGGCTCGCCCACCGTTGTTCTTATGACTTCGGTGTTTACCTGAGCAGAACTTCAGGTTTCAACGTTCTATCAAAAACCCTAGATGATTTAGAAAACGTATTTGCAGATCAAGCTTGAAGCTTGAGACCTGCATGTAATTTCGAAACTTAATTAGAGCCCCAAGCAATTCTCTCCCTCACAGCAGACAGCATTGTAAGCCGCATACCATGGATCCAATCTCGCAGGGTTTGGTCCCTGTGCACTGTACATTTTTCAGATATATGACGAACACGAATTGCCGAATGGGGGGGAGGGGCGCTGTTTAGGATATATGATGAACCGGAATCGCCAAATGAGGGGTGCGTGTTTAAACAATATGATGAACGGGAACGCCAAATGAGGGGTGTGTTCAAGACATATGATGAACTGGAGTCGCGGGATAGCTCAATGAGGGGGCGTGGTTAGGATAGTTGATGCCCCGGAAACCTCAACTGTGGGAGGGGCGTGTTCAAGATATATGATGAACCGGACTCCCTAAATGAGGGGGCGTGTTTCAGATCGATGATGCGCCTGAATCGCTAAATGAGGGGGAGTGTGTAGGATATATTACGAGCCAGAATCGTCACATGGAGGGACGTGTTTAAGATATATGGTGAAGCGGATTGGTTTATTGGTTTTTGTTGTTTTTCTTATGCGATCCTATGGTGTTCCGTTAACTGTATTTTGCTATTGATTTTTAGGTGTAACCCCCATACCCAGAGATAACAGATGCAGATAATCCAGTGAGCAACCCAAAAACGTGGCAAGTCGCAGCAAAGCGATGAAAAAACGACGCAGATAACACCCAGAAAAGCGGCGAATAACACAGATGACAAACCAAAGCTGATGACTCCATTCCCCCTATTCACTATTGGATTTGACAGCAATCGTTCAGCCTTGCATCATTCACCACCAATCAAGTGCATAGACGCTCGCACACGGAAGTCTGTGTTTTCGGACTTGGTGGTCGTTTCAGTCACAAATGGATTGCTTCTGTGAAGCAGAACTCTAAACCCTATAGATCCCTTGCAGGAGCCCTTAAAGGAACCCTTATAGATCCCTTGAAAGCAGTGGGATTCCTACACCCCGAATCCTAGGGCTCTTGCGGCTTGAGCCAGGTGCGAGGCGAATACATCAAGTTCGCAGACACCTTTAAGGCACCGCCGGCTGTCTGCTTCTTAGTAGGCGGTGTTGACGGCTCCTATGAGGGTCCCTTTAAGTTTAGGGTCTAGGGTTCTTAGTAGGGAATGGGGGAATGTGTTATGGGGACTACTATTGCGGATTATATAGGGATTTCTTTAGGGGTCCATTCCATCATTCCCTACTAAGAACTCGACACCGCCGGAAGACGCCTAGAAACTCGACCAGCAGCGTAGGTATCGGATTCAGATAAACTGCGTATTATAGGGGT